TTATAGCACGGCAGGCCTAATGCCGTTCCGCACGGCAGTAGCGCGACTTGGCTTCGAACGGCGTTCTCTTGCCATGCACGTGCCAAACTGAACCAGGGACGGCGGAGCCGGGATTGGGGCTTAAGCCCCCCCCCCCCCCCCCCCCCCCCACTTCCTCCCTTTCACGATCTTAACTACCACAAATAAAGGATCTTAATTACCAAAAATAGCAATTGTTCGGTGCAAAGTCATACGGTGATTTATCATGTTATCATGTAGCGCTACTGATGAGTGGAATGTATGCATCGTGGAAACCTTGATGTCAGCAAAGGTAAAAAAGCAATTTGCGGTATCTGAGTCGATTTGATGTTGACATCAGACGTTGTAGAATCAACGTTGTAACAGGGGAGCTGGATAGGTTAGACTTCAGCGCATTAACAAGATCTATTTCTTGCAGAAATCAGCGGGTTATCCCGAAGGGCTCTTACCCTCTCGAGGAGCTGCCTTGTTACAGGAGCCCATCACAAGGAGCGTGCAACTCCCATACTAAGCCTATGTCACGGAATTTTTTTTATCAGGCCAGTCTATTTTTAGGCTTCTTTTCCCGCGAAATAGGTCACTTCTGGTCCATATGAGCGAGCATAGGAAAGGAAAAAAATGTCGGGGTTGTCCGTGCTTGTGATTGGTCACTGAGGTTCCTGCGGGGGTCTGAATTCGCGGTAAATTCAAACTAAAAAGAGATCGGTCTGTGAAAACGTCGTGACAGGAATATGGGGTAGTTGCACGCTCCTAGTGATGGGCTCCTGCTTGTGATAAATAAATCTTACTTCAAAAACTTCAATTGTCCTGCTTTGTGGTCAACGTAAGTCATAAAACAATTAAATTTCTGTCCTCCTGTATGTCTGGATGAGCTAGAAGATTTCACATTTGTTCACATAAGACTAATAAACGAAATTTCTCTGTTGTTAATTAATAGTCAACTGAAGCATCGCTGGGTATCGTCGTGTGACTCTCCCGACAAAACACAACTAACGTAAAAGTTTTTAATGTAGTCATCTAGATACCATAGAGGTACGTCTCCTTCCGAAATCACGTGATAATGAAAATCTCGAATATCGTATTTTCGTCCCAGGGTTGCTTCGGACTCATTGCGCATCCTCCAAATCTCTTGTTGACCAATCATGTAAGAGGTAGCCTGGCCAGGCCAAGCCTGGTAACGAGTAATTTCTTTGGTTACGATGTCACTGTCGTTCCACATATAATGCCTAAGTAAGGTCAGTGCTTCGTCACGTGACATGTCCTTGTGATGTAGACTCGTGTCGATGACGAGGCGGAGTGCTCGCCAGATTTGAGACTTAATCACTCCGTACCGACGCAATGGTTGACCTTTGTACAAATCTACGAGGATAATCGAGAGTAAAATGTGTTAAAATTACGCCAAGGCAGGCGTTTTGTGAGCGAGTTGAATTGATCATCAAATGGACTGTTTGCTATCGACTGGCCATAGAAACCCAAGTGTTTAATTAACGTTTTTACCTGAGTCAAGACTCATAAGGGGATACTCCGTGTAGGTGGCCCATCCTTCTTTGTACGCTGTGATGCTGGTTCGTTTTAACATACTTGGACAAGAAGCTCTGCTAAAAAATTATAAATTACAAGACAAAGTGTTTGAAACGTAAGTTGCTGTAGAACGCTTTAGAAAAGTTTTTACCTTAACAAAGTCTCTGGATGAAACCCTAGCTATTGCGCAACACTTTCATGTGGTACTGTTTATTATGCTGTACAAGGTGGTTTTAACTTTTGAGTCTATTTTTGAAAATTCGTAGTATGCGACAATTCAAATGAAAGCTATCGAGCAGTACTTTCATGGGGCACTGTTTATTATGCTGTACAAGGTGGTTCTAACTTTTTAGTCTGTGGACGAAACCATAGCGTGTGACCATTCAAATGAAAGCTATTGAGCAACATGTGGTATTGTCTATTATGTTGGTACTGTTCATGTGGTACTGTTTATCATGCTGTTTATCTGTACGAGGTGGTTCCAACTTTTAATTCTGTGGATGAAACCCTGGTTTGTGACCATTCAAATGAGTAGTGCTCAGTAGTACTTTCATGTGGTACATACCCCTTACTAACCGAGTTCGAGGGCCGTACTGTAAGTTACGGACTGAGTTTTCCCCCCATCGATTTATGGCCCAAGCGCGAAGCGCGCGGGCCATAAATCGAAGGGGGAAGAACGAGGATCCGTAACTTACAGTACGGACCGAGAAAACGAGGTTAGTAAGATATTTATTATATCTCTACTGTGTGTCTGGCGGGCTCAGGAACGATTTCTATTCACCCGGAACGGCTTCAGATTTCAGTGACGCACTTTGAAAGCAAAACGACTCAATTTGAAATCGTTAAGAGACTCTTAAGTCGTTAGCCGGTTTTAATACACAATTTAAGAAGTAAAAGAACGTTTTAAACTTTTAATTGCTAAAAAAGTTAAGAACACTTGGCGACAAATCACGAAACATTTTGGCAGCAAAAACAGCATTAAATTTTAGCGGGCCATACAGTAGATTACGGCCCGCTAAATTGACCAATCACAGCGCGTGTACTAACTGAGAGATATAATAATGTTTATTATGCTGTACAGAATGATTCTTACTTGTAAGTCTGTGGAGGAAATCTAGTGTGTGACCATTCAAATGAAAGCTATTGAGTAGTACTTTCGTATGATAATCAGTTTTTCTCAACATTTTATTTTTCTCTTACTCACCGAGGCTTAAACACATCCTTGTAGCTTGCGTCCTGGAGGTGATGGCCAGGGATACCTTCGTGTACTGTTGTAGTCCACTCCATGAACTCAGATCCCATCTTATCAACAAAGAATGGCAATTTGTACCTGCCTGTGAACCGACAGTTACTCAGGGAGGGGGTGTAAGTGGCCACGCCAACAGAAGGAGAAAAATTGATGACTGGCTCAACGGGACAAGCTGGTACGGTCCTTCTCTCGCCCACAAAGTAAAATAAATTGAGTATTTTTGCTCGCATCAATGTTAACGTGCTGCGAGCGATTTCTATCCAGTGTGTCATGGTGGAATATCGCCGAGGACAGTTAACAGCTGCGTCTGGTTAACAAGTGAACAAGTAATTAATGCAAAATTACAGGTATTAACACAGAGAAACAGAGACCGGAAATCAAATTCTTTAAACCGCTCGATCCAGAGTCCTGATGTATTAACATGCCTGCGCACCTCACACACTTCACTCTACCACACTTACTTTTGATGCACTTCTGGAAAGCTTCCTCGTCAGACTCGTTTTTTGGAAAAGGCTGTTTGTTGAGGTAAAACGAATAAGACTTCAGACGGCTTTTGAATTCCGACACAGCCTCGCTCTCGTTTCCTTGTCCTGTTATCGTCTTTGCGATGTCGACAGCTTGACGGTAATATCTGGTCAGTTCTCTCCATCCAAGATCATGCACTTCGTCTAAATCAGTGAAAGAAACACAAACAGGTCAACGTCATGCGCTCAAAACAATCTCGTTCACAGAGACTGCGATCTTTTTTGGTCAGCGCCAAGAATCGTGAGTTCCAGAGGAAATCAGCAGGTGAGCCAGCATTAGTCACAGCGGTTGTTCGCTGTACGCATATCCAGAAACCGTTCTTAAAGCAATCTGATTTTCTTCTTCCCGTTATTGACTTTGTCTAGGGAGTGGGGCATTTTGCGAGCTGAAAATGCTCAGGAATGAATGCTAGTGAAGAGAACATGAGAGTAAGAGAGTTCATCTCCCACATAGCCCTTAGCCTTGAGGTAATTCCTCTCTAGTTCTTTTTACATATGGTATCCAGCTCTCCCGCGGATAATGCTATCGTGCGCATTGCGTAGATGTTCTCTTGGAGAATGGAAATGCGTATAAAGCCACTTGAGCTGACCTCCTGATTAAAATTCGCCTCACTAGATCTATTTCTAGACCCTTGCTGAATTTTCTGCAGACGAGAGTGATAGATGTTAATCATCGTTTTTAGGGTCGTCACGCAACGTTTTTGGGAGAAGCGTTGCGTGACGACCCTAATAACGGCTGCGAAGGAGACTAAGAATATATTCTGACTGAAGTCGGAAAATATCGGTTGAATTACGCATGTCCATGCAACAAACTCGAGGCTCAATGGAGTAGCAGGTGTTTTACTTCTGTTCATTTTCATTGCCTTTCATACCAATCAAAATCGAGCCTGTAAAGGAAACGAGATTGCATGCTTAAAGGGTAAAAAATATATATGAAGGTTGGCAACAACCGCTGTTTCAGTGTTCTGAAACCGCACTGGTTTGTGTTTGTTTCTTTACTAATTAGAACTTCACTGGAACTTCAAACTTAATTGTCTTTATGTTACTTTTCAAAATCTGAGCTTCCATCTTGAGGTTATGGCTTATCTGCGGGTGCAGTTTATACAGGAACGTTTACGAAGTTAGTCATTAAACTAAAATCTTGTGCAAAATGTGCAGGGTTTGAGCTCGATCTGCGAACAATAAATAGCAGGCCCCAAAACACTTTTTTAATAATTCGCGCAAGCCAAAGGCGGTACTGAACCGTGATATAGCTCTCTCTCTCTCTCTCTCTCTCTGCGGGGACTTGGCCACTGGAGATATTTGTCCTCAAAATCACCATAGTTTGCCATGCCATTTTACATGGGTAGTTATTAACTTAAATTGATTGACAGGTTATCATTCAAATTACATGAAACTCCCGTATATAACTCACGAAGGACGTATTTACAGTCGTGTAAAGCCACAATTGAATTGGATGAATTGCTCATGTTTGAGAGCCCCTACTTTTACCCTTATTTAGTGTAGTATTTAAAGGAATTTATGTAAAAAAAAAAGTAGGGGGTGGTGTAAGTCCCCCGGAAAATTGCAATTTTGAAACCGTTTTGGCTCTTTGAGTTATTGGGTATGCCCTTCAATCTGGCCAAGTTTCACTGAAATCGTTGAGATGGCATGTATCACCCCTGCCTGGTCCACTGGTCAAGGTCAAGATATGAATACTTGCCTGGGGTGTAGCTTGTCGTAGTAAAGTACGATAGAATTTCTTTATAGGCGTCCTTTCCCTTCATTATCTTTTCCGTGCCATCCAGTGTTTGATTTGTCGTTTTTGATGTTCTTGTCCCGTTTAAGTAGACATGATCGACAGGCCTCGTTCCCAGGCCACTGGATACATTACCGGGTACACAGTGTGTCATGTGATCATTTTCAAGATACTCAAACAAACTGACCAGCGGCTTTCCAACAAATTTGATGACACCATCGTAAAGGGAATCTGACATATTTTTACCATATTTCTCAATCCATGCAGATAAATCTCGTATCGGAACATGAGATACGAAGTCTTGTATACGAGAGTGTACCCCATACCAAGACAACACAGCATCGGGCTTTTTGCGGGTAAAAAGGTCGAGATTATATTGTTTCACGCACTCTATTCCCTCGGCGCATTCGCTTATTGACCGGACCATTCCTGTCGTCACGCCTCTCTGTAGGTTAAGTTTGTACTGATCGATACCTTGTTGATATTTTGGCAGCATGTTCAAGGCATCTTCTGCAGCTGTCATAGTTTTGTTCTCCTTCGTAAGAAATATGTACAGTCCTCGGCTTACGTGACTTGACAGCGAGGCGATTGGCTCAGACTTGCATCTCTGACTGGGACCCAACATCCAGGCTCCTAAGCGGAATGAAAGGGAAATGCACTAAGTTTACAAAGAATTCAATGAATTCATCAACCTATCTGTCTGTCCATCCGTCCGTCCGTCCGTTCATCATTCATTCATTCATTCATTCATTCATTCATTCATTCAGCCAGTGAGTCAGTCATTCAGTCAGTCAGTCAGTCAGGTAGGTCAATCAGTCAAGTCGTCAAGCAGACAGTCAGTCCGTCAGTCCCTTAGTCCGTCAATCCGTCCGTCCGTCCGTCCGTCAGTCCGTCCAACGTCAGTCCGTCAGTCCCTTAGTCCGTCAATCCGTCCGTCCGTCCGTCCGTCAGTCCGTCAGTCCGTCCGTCCGTCCGTCAGTCAGTCCGTCAGTCCGTCCGTCAGTCCGTCGGTCCGTCAGTCCGGTCTACCAGCTGTCCGTCAAGCAGTTCGTTATCAGTCAGTCAAACAGGCAATGAATTGATCATAAAAATGTTGTTAGCCAGTCAGTCAGGTCAGTCAGTCAGTTATCAGTGAGATACTTCATTAGTCAGTCGGTCGGTCAGTCACTCAAAAATTAGTTAGTTTTTCATCAAAATAATAATAATAATAATAATAATAATAATAACAATAACAGTAATAATAATAATATTGATAATAATACTTTATTTATATAGCGCTATTTCTATCACTATCCAGTAGCGTTTGACTGTTCGTTTAAGTTTTGATACGCAAACACTGGTGACGTTCTCCTTCAACGTTACTCACTAAATTAAAATCTGCTGCAGACCAGGAGGAACAACTCCCTGTTCAGTAAAAGACATCTTAACTCAGTAAAACCAAGTGCAGGAATAGATTTACGGTCAAAAATGACTAACCTGTGTAATAATTGTTCTCGTAGGGTTTCCCAAAGAAATGCTTTAATTCGTGTTCAGCAAATGCTAAAAGTCTTCTTTCTCTTAGCTTGAGTCTTCCCGTGTTCAAGCTGGCTCTTATCTCCAGAAGTTTTTCGTAAAGTGTTCGTGTTTGGTCGGTTAACATTTTAGCTGTCTTCGGCGCTGGATCGTAAGGTTGGAAAAGATCCTTGGTGAAATAACTTTTGTAAGGCGTGAAGCTGCTCTGTACCCCTTTGACCTTGGCGAAAAAGGACTCTAAACCTGTGAGTCATAAAATTGCAACGTATATACTGATAAAGAAAAGGAACACTTATCATACCATATAGATAAACAAAAAAAGTAATAGAAATTACACGGTGACATTGGTAACTATAAATTTTTCGGTAAGATGCAGAGTTAGAGGAAAAGTAGAGTGTGACTTGCTTTAATTGGAAGGAGGTTACTGCAATCAGCCAGTTACAGCAAAACTTAAGTTTTTAGTACCCTTAATTATTGCATGCACGCACGTTTACTAGAGAGAAAAACAATCAAATGCATTCTCCAATCTAAATGGCATTGTCAGACTCGTTCCCAGTCCTTTAAGCTTCGTTCGCATGGTTGGCATCATAGGTGAGTGGAAATTGTTAACCGCAATGCCATTTTGACTACTAATGAGTAGAGACTGGGTTCCAGTAGTTGGGTTTTACACCACTGTTTAGTGTTAGCAATGTCACTGATAAACGCCTCGATTTTTCTAGCCGGCAGTCCTTTCCGGAAGCTTCCATCGTTTACGCTGGATTGTAACTTTCCTCCCCTTTTCGTGTGACAAATTTAGAATTTTCAAATCCTCATAGAATACGAGAATAGCATCTCAGAGTACCTAGATTTTTGCATTTTCTACCGAACATTTTTTCGCGCCAATACCCATTTTTCTGGAATGTTTTAGTCTGTCCCTGTATGGTATTTACTAGTAAACACAGCAGACAACCGGAACTCAAAATAATAAGATTTCTGTCTTCTTTTCAAACCAGGGGATTTTTTAGAGTGACTTATTAAGTGTAACGTATATCACAAAGAAATAAGATCTATTGTAGGTTCCAAGGGGTTGGCTATGCATTTGACTATTGTTTAACGGCTTATTTTTTCTGCTGTTTGCATTGCTAAAAAGTGCATTGTCAAAAGGGATTTTGAATCAATGCGTTGTGACAAATTTCTAAGCATTGTTCTATAACCAAATTCCAGTCTGTAATTTCAAGGCGATCAAAAAAGCATACGGTTGAAAAATATGTCAATTTTGGTGAATCACCGCACTACAGATGTTTTTTTTTCTTTCCTTTTCTTTTCTTTTCTTTTCTTTTTTCTTTTTTCTTTTTTTTTTTTTTT